TGGCTACCACTACAGCTTCAATAATACTGCAAATTCTCAAATTCTTTCTAAAAGAATTGTAAGTTCAAAGACCTAAATTAAATTTAGTAAACTTGTTTAAGATATGATGCTGACAAAAATTCCCAGCGCATAATTCCATATGAAATATGGCATAAGTAAATCAGTATTTTAATATACACTTATTTTCCTGCACAAATTTTATTACATTTTTCTATATAAGAATCACAGAGTTAATTTTTTTTCATAGCAAATAGGGAATTACAATTAATGTTGGTTTCTGTATCATCCTGCCTCATATCTTCTAGAAACACTCTGGAACTAGGCTTGACATGTTCCTCTGAATTTAAGAATTCAAACTCACAATTCAAAATTATTATAAGAATTAACCAAATATTTGAGCAGAAGTGATGTAAAAGGATCACCAGTGCACAATTTCCTTAAGTAACACTGAAGTAATATTTCAGCTGTTTGCTACCTGTTATTGCTGTACAAAAGTGCTCATGTCTTTTACCTTCTTTTGACATTTTACCCCAAGGATACAGAGCTCCAATCTATTTCCACTGTCATCATAAACATGTACAGGTCACTTATTTTTCAATATCTCTGCTTAGTTTGTTTATAAAACTAATCTGTATGAATGTTTGTAGAACTACAGAACATACTGTCTGTTTGTTTATAGAACTAATCTCTATGAAAGGCCTGCACTGAGGCACATAAAGGTCAAGATCTTTAAAACCCCCTTTTTCCAGTCAAGGTAACATTTTGAAGCAGCAGAAAGGTAAAGACAATACTGAATACAACGAAAGAAAGAATTAAAACGTTCATGCCTTCCCTCCCCATAAAGCTTCCACATGCTATTTAAATGTACAAATAGGAGGAACAAAGACTGCAAATTGCTCAGTAACTGCTGGAATAGACACTGCGTGTTACAGTACTTTCTAAAAGATTTTTCCTTTGAGATCTTATTAGACCTAGACAAGGTCAAAATGGCTCAACAATCAAACATAAAAATATTGACGGCCACTTATTCTATTCCTTAGCTGATTTCTTTTGAAGACAAGGTTTTTCATAAATCTACATTAACACAGCTTCTTATATTTTGCCATTCTCTCAGAAATTTGTTTATTACACAAAATTTACAATCCACCTCATAGAATGTAAACATTTCAGCATACACATGCAATCAGACAAAAATACCTCCAAAGCATTATAAAAGAAAACATCAGACTGTATTTAAAGAATAAAAATTGTAAACAAAACCCACTCACAGTATATAGTCTTTCTATGTGTATCTTATTGGCTATTAATATCACTGATAGATTACATGGTTTCAGAAATAAAACCTAATTTTTTCCTGTTTTCTATTCTATCTGTTAAGCCTTTTGTAGTACTTTATATTGGAAAAGTTATCACTTCTGGTTAAAAATAGGTTGTCATTATGAAAAATAGCACCAGATTTGGATATAAACATTTGATCTGCACTTCTTTAAAAGCCCACATATGAATCCTTCCTCTTGACTAAGAAGAGCTATAATTCATCATTACTGCTACTACTTGTAATTGATGATAAAGCTGAGAATTTCTTGAGTGAAACAGATGAAAAAAATTTCAGAAATGAAGGAACAATGGCATTGATTCTCGTGACTTTCAGTCTCACTACCCAGGACATAGAGATGAAACCAACACGATGTCTTTTCATGGATGCTTCTTAGGCTTTCATGGCTCTCTCCTGTGAATCTCATTCCTCATGAGGGCATTGAGGGATCTCAGACTCCTAGTTCTACACAGAGACCATGGAAAACCAGTGCTATCAGAGCCACAGAAGCTGCCATGCCCCTGAAATGAATGTCTTGGTAGAAATGTCCTCAGAGTCCTCCCTATACAACTGAAGTAGGGAAGTTGCTGATAAAACAAAAAAATGGCAACTACAATAACTGATTCATGGCAAAGCCAGAAGTCTCAGCATCCAGGATCTCTACCCTCTGTAGAGACACAGGTAGATTTACAGTGCCCTCTCACAGCAGGCATTGCTGTAGCTGGGCTAATACACACACCAGGAGCCAGCTGGGTCATTACTACACAGGCGGTGTTCGGGTAGGGTGCACCCACCACTTTGAAATCCAACGCAAGAGCACTCTTCTGATATACAGAAGACATTGTTTATTACTTACCAAAACAAAAACTGACAGATGTAGGATTTGCATTTGTTTACAGTTCTCATATTTTTAATGCAAATTAAGCATATTATTCATCAGGGCATATCATCAGTTGTATTCCCAAAGGAAAAGAAATTAATTGAAACAGGTCTTATTTTAAATTCTGATTCCTTGTCAAAAAGCTGGCATGACTTATAAACTCCAATAAAGTCAGTTTCTCTGATTAGCTTATTTTGTTCCCTCCCATTCCATTGTAATATCTGATTGACTTAATGGCTCACTTTAGAAAATGGAAGCAATTAAACTTCTTTTTTTTTCTTCTTCTTCCTTCCAAAGTATCTATCACAACTGTTTTGTTAAGAATTACTTTTTTTTTAAGGTTAACTTCTTTCTTTTTGCTATATTTCAGTCACTGGTTTTGAGCTAATGACAGAGCAATATTCAGAGAAGAATGGAAGTGATTGGTTGACTGAATAACTTAATTTTAATTTCACTATATCTATTCTGTACTGATAAGATGATAACATTTTTAAGTCATTATATATTCCTTTCTGACATTGCGTAAATCAGGGCTTGGATAACTGGCAACTAAATAGGTAACTTCCCTGTTCCACCAACAGTATAACAATTCTGCAACCCAACAGCATTTCCCTGTCTTATTGAATTTTTCTATCAAGATTTACCAACTAATATTGTTAGAATTGGTTTGTAAGTCTTTACAAAGACTTCCAAAAGTGCTTTCAAATTAAGTTCTGGCTACGTGTAAAACCTTGCCTCTCCACCCTTCCCTTCAAGTACCTTCTCAGGTAGCTTCACCATGCTACCCAAATGTGAAGTAACAAATATTTAAAATAAATAGAAATCATACCTTTTTCTTCTGTATGTCTTGCAAAAGACTTTACTCTTGATTTCAGGTTTTAATTGGTGGAATGAGAAGGGATCAGAATATTTGTCCATGAAACAGTAGTAGTCATGAAGAAACTAGTACCTCTCCATAATTAGAAATTATGAAATCCACATTCTCAGTGCTTAGGAAATCATAAGCTTTACAGATGAACAGCCAGACTGAATTTAAAAAATAATACACTCCTTTCTTCTTTTCTGTACAAGGGTTGACTGCCTTTCCTGAAATGTCCTGAGAAGCCCTTTCACATCATGCTTTCAGATATATTTTTAACTAATAGTGTATTTCATCTAATGTTATTAGGAAGAAAACATATATAGTATGTCCCAAAAGAATGCATTGAGATGCTCTAGCTTTGCATTTTTATTACCATATTGTTATTTTCAAAGAAAATAGCACTAAAAGGTATTTTAATCTATTGAATAATGATGAAAAATTTATATTATTTAAAAGATATCTCTAAAATGTCAAACTCAGCAAATGGTAAAAAAAAAAAGTAAATAAGTCAGTATATCTTAATATTCACATGCTACTTCATTTATGTTAGGTTTAGGACTGGAAATTACAAAGCTATGTAACATGTTTTTTCAGTTTCTCAGCCAGCTCCATGCAATGGCTTGCATTACATTGGCAATGCTTTAAGCTAGCCATCAGACAATCATAAGTATTACTGTTATTGTCCAAAACATATGGGGTCCACATTATATATTTTGAAATTAAATGTACATTGCCAAAGCATCCACGCACATCTGTTCCAACCAGCAATGATATTCCCCACATATATGCAAGTTTCCACATACGTGCTGCTTTTACTTTGTACATTCTCTCTTACATATTTTCCATTTTACATTTACTAATTTGGAACACAGCAATTATTGATTTGACAAGTACCAAATTGCCAAGAATAATTTCCTTCCCCTCCCTACCTTTTTTACCTCCTAAGCATATGTGGGAGGAAAGGATAATTTCTTTAGTTAGTGATCAAGATTCAAACGAGAAAGGGAAAAATAGCTTAAAAAATTAACATACACTTGGAATATTATACTAGCTCTGTCTCCTCCAAAATTAAGTACTTACTAAGTGTTATGAATCTGTCAATGAGATTCTGTTATTGAGATATTTTGGGGGAGGTTTTGGCTGTCTCAAGACACTGGGATCAAGACAGAATAATTTGTTTTGCAATAGTAGATTGGCCTTTGTAAAATAATGACTTTCAAACACTGATTAGGGTGTAATTCAGCTGCTGTTTCTCTTCCTTCCTTCTAATTTAAATCATCCTATATTGAATAGCTGTACATTATGTTGTAAAAGAAGAATTCAAATCTGAACATGCTCTGATGACAGAAAGAAGAACACAAACCATACTCTCAGCACGTACGGGATGCAGCACATGAAGGTACGTTAAAATTACATTACTCATTGTAACAAAGTGTCCTTCAGTCTATTTGCAAACACAATTTTCTTCCATTTTCAAATAATTGTAGACTGTCAGAATGAGATGAAGTTGTTTTAGCAAGACTAAAGGATCAAATTGTAGAAGTGTCAAAGGTTCTTGGCAGCTGTAGGTATTGAATTTGGGTATTGTTCATTGATTTAAGGATAATTTGGCTTTATTTGTAACATATATCTTTTTGCAAATCAACACTCTATTTGGTCACAGCCTAACAACTGACTTCAACAGGAAAAATAATTTGTTGATAACATTTTTGGTAATTGTACAATCATTATATAGTTACTAGCAGGGAAAATGTTGTGACTTGGCTACTTTCAGAGATAAGCTATTTGTGCTCGATCTGACCTCTCAATTCAGAATACGATGACCTTGTGACACTGCTACAATCAAAAAAAAGTTGTTAGGAATGCCTCCTAAAGGACAGATAGTAATAGAGAGAAAGAATGAGTAAACAAACCACTTCAATTTGTTCTGAATTCATATATACCTGAACGCATAGCATCTTTTTGAATGCTTTCATAATCATGCCAGTCCTTCCTTTTCAGGCCATCAGTCCAGGTAAAGAGCTGTCCATCTCCCAGCCCCAGTGGAAGTGTCTGTGAAAAGAGTAAACAAACAAACAAACAAATATATATATATATACATAAGTAGTTCATGTTACTACAGAGTTACTCATAATACAGCAGTAGCCATACTCAGTTTATTCAATGCAAATATTGAAACTTTACTGTGATAAATGAAGTTATTTTTCTAAATACTGTGAGAAAACAGTGAATTTAGTTCTTGAAAATTACTTGAAGTATATCAAACGTCTGGAGCTTAACAATTCTCTTTTCAGCACAGTTCCAATATGACTTCTTGGCAAGAAGCTCATGGAGACTAAACAGACCACTTAAACTAAACAGGTTTCAAAAATGCCTTATCCTTCAACACATGAAGGACTTGGATTTTTTTCTTTAAACTATCACTTGTGCAAAATTGGAGTTGTAGTTACTTTGCACTTTACAATGTTCTCCTTTCATTTTTTTGGTATTTTTTTTAATAGCTGCCACAAAGTTATTGTTATTCACACAAAGTCAAAGAACTGCATCAAAGGCCCAGAGTAAAGAAATTTTCAAAGCACTTTCAACTCTTGTAGATTTTCACAATAAGTGATGAGGAAAAATACCCCAAACACACCACCCCCACCCTCAGAGAATACCCAGAAAAGAAACCCCCATACAATGTGTAATTGGTAAGCTGACTTCCCTTTCCAAACTCCAAATTCCTGTGTAAAGGAAAACCTGCTTTTTGATTCTAAGCAATATTATCTTCCTAGAGCTCTTTATTTTTTTTTCCTCTCTTGATTCCTTCTGCCAAAAGCTAGTATTTCTATGAAAATTAAGAATCAAAAAGTAAAGTACATGAAACATAGATTCATTGCTAATAAGAATAACATGAAAACTCTAGCTCTGCTAATTACAGGTTTAAATCAGTAAGTTGTCCAGAAAAAAAAAGCATATATGGAATGCATGCTAGAAATGTTCTCACAGTTATGAGAAAACACACTCAAACAGCAGTTTCACGGACACAACATCTGATCAAGCTTCTACTAGGAAACACTGAAAGCCCTACAAAAATCTCATGCCGGTGTAACAGTGAAGCTTTGCCCTTCATATTTGAAGTTTTTAAACTCAATGAACACTGGACTCACCCATATTCTCTTTCTGATTTTACACCACTGGCTGCACAGACGTAGATGACACTCACTGACACCACGTGAAATTGTCCCAGCATGCTCAGTTAGGGTTTCTTTGTTTCTAGGACAGACAAATATTTGCCAAGCTACATCATGCAGATCTGGTTGCTAAGCCATCCTTAAACTGGGTTTCAAAGGCTTTTGGATTTGTAAGCAAGAAGTCAGGCATGCCAGGCATGACTGGTTACCTTCAAACAAAGGATGCTTGAAAACCTGGCTGACAAAGATTTATGCTGGAAATATCTGCTTTGGGTCAAGTGAGAATGCTGGATATTCAGGGCAAATTATGACGAGCTCAGTGCTCTCCAACAAATCCCTGAAATACTGAGGAAAATCCATCACACTCTGCTAGTAGGGCCTACATTTCTAAGTTTTAATATTAAAGGTAACTTATGTTACATAACGCCAAACTGCAATCTAGTTTGTTTATTCTTCTATTACCACTTCTGCAGACATATTCCAAGAAAATACTGTTGTCATATTTTAATATGATAAAAGTCAGAGGTTCACACATAAAAGAACTGAAGAACTTAATAGAGCTTGAAAAAAATATGTTGGGTTATCAAAATATCTAACCTTTGAAGTCATTAAAATGAACCCATTAATTACAATAATTTTTGAGTTCAAACAAGGCTAACGTTCTAATAGTAATATTAAATTGCTTGGGTTTTAAAGTCAGAAGCATAGGTAGAACACAGGCTACAACAGCATTAATCATGATTCTAAAGCACAAATTTCCAAAATAATCTACTCTGAAGCAGTAACTGGTTCTTTAAAAGTCAGACCCAGACTCACTTCAATTAAACTTGTACCCTTCTCAGTGTGGGTACAGCTGGTGTGAATCACTTGGTCCAAAAATTAAAGACTATTTAAACTATCAAAAGCGCGATAAAGTTTACTTTTGTGACCTTCTATTCCTGTGCTAGTTCCTTTCCCTAAAAGTAGTTATTTAAATGGCAAGTTTGCAGGACACTGAAAGAAAGCTGAGTAGTAGAGCTTACAGCTGGTTTCCCATAATCTATTTGCATTTTGATGCCATTACTCTTTAAAAATATTAATTACATGTAGTTACTTTACCTGATGGCATTTACAAGTCTAATGTACCAGGAGACTCTTGCAAGCATAATATAGTTAAATAAATACATCCACTAAAATTAATCTAGTAGAAGTATAACTATAAATCCAAATATCATGAGATAGACAAAAACTAATTGAAGTCTTTCTGTGGCTCATATTTTGGAATGGTAACATTGCCCTAAGAGGAAACAGTATTGGTGCCATTACAAGTTCCTGTTTAACTACTGAGAGTATTGCTTGGACTGCTGGGATTTTTTTTTAATAAATCCCTTAACTCCCTCACATTGTACTGTGGCAATTTTTCAGCTCTAACATCCTTTCAGTGTAAGGGGAATTGAACAGAATGCTCTGTGTGTCACTTCATAAAACCAGTATTCAGACAGCACCATCTCAATGCTGACTGAACATTGCGACCTCTACAGGGACTGGACTTCACAAAATTTACTCTGTGTACACACTAGTTTCACCTGTGCAGTGAGCATGAAACAGGGCTTAGAATAAGGGATGTTGAGTTGCAAAGACAAACTCTCTAGGAAGAGCAAGAGTTTTGCAAGTTCTTCAGCTCTGAAGAAATCTGAACTGCCTTCGGTCCCTCAACTAAATATCTCCCTTGTCAGCAACTGAAGGATGTTTTTTTTGTCTTTTTTTTCAAGTTGCTCTATTATTTAACAAGATAGAAAAGCACTTGAGAAAATGGGTTTCTCCATTTCACTTCTACCTAAGGGTAAACAAATTGCATTTTGAAAGACCTTAAAACACAGTTTCTGACATTTTTTAAAACTGATAAAACGCTCCATTGTAAAAACTCTAAGTACGCTTACATGCCTCTTTTACCCAGATGATAATGACTGGAAGGGCTCCCATTTCTAGAGCATTTCTGGCTGTGGAAGCAGGAAAAGGAAAAATAAAAGAAAAATAATGTAGTATTCTTATTCTAGCATTTGTCTTTCCCTACATAGTTTTCTTTCATGTTTCTCCATCTTTTTTGATACCTTGACAAATTAAACTGTTTTGCATCAAACTAGAAGCTGCACTGGTTTAGTTATACTATAGGCTGAGTCTCTCTGGTGTAATGGCTAGATAACAACAACCACCAGCATTGCTACTTGAAAAAAATGCATACAAGAAAGCCCATATAACTCTACACCCCACCACAGACGACAAGTTCTGAGTAGGTGAATATGACATCAAAAGATGGAGTGCGCTAATAAATCTGTATTCTGATTTTTTGCTGAACATATATTTAACTCTAAACCGATGGACTCAAGTGAAATAAAATTAACCACAGCATATAGGTACAAATGCTAAAGAAGGCAACAAAATAAATTCTTCATTTTAGGGGTAATGTATAATGTATAAAGAGATCAAAATTATTAAATTTATGCTATAAAATGCATACTGAATTCAGCACAAAAATATGTTTAGGTGTTTAAACAAATAACCAAATTAGTTAGTAGGTTGGGTTCCAACCTATAAAATAAAAAAATGATGAAAGATTATTATCTTTATGTAAGTAAATTACTGAACCATACATCATAGGAGACATGGTATTCTGGAAATGCACATTTGCTATTTGCACATCCTGGGTTTTTATGTCCTTATACGGCAGCAACACTTCATGGATCGTGTGAAGTGTTAGTTCTACGTGTGCCTGTAAGAGCACTAGTAGTCTTTTTGGTATACGTAAGGGTTTTAAAATGGAAAGCATGGCTTCAGAACATTACAATGCCTTCCAACACATGAAGTAAGGCTTCTTTCTGGTGGAAACCTAGATATGAGAAAAGAGAACACTCAGGCACGCCTGCCTCTGCTTCTCCCCAGTACCTCAACCTAAAACAAAAGTAACATGTATCCTTTACTGACATATCAATGCATATGGGTGAGAAACCAGCTCAGCTAAGTAGCTGAAACATAATCAGGGTTTTCCCCTCCAAAATATTTCTGTACATCACCCACAAATAGTGCAGTCTGCCCCTACAGCCCTTAGCTTCGACCCCATGAACCATTTTCATCATTGCAGAACTATTACAATAGCAAACATTGCATACAATATGCATACATTGCATACAAAATGTTGGATTTTGACTGACTGTCAAAAAAATCCTACAACAATTTATCATCCAACCATTTTTTAGTATGTGACTCTGAGTTACACATTTTTAAGTGTTTCAGTCCAAAAGGGATTACCCACCTACAGGAACATTACATGCAGCATCTGCCTTACTATTTCATTTTCACATTAACCTCAAATCCTCTGGGATGCAAGACTGATACAGTATTACATAAACTGAGAAGACTCTTCTCCTCCAGAGAAGATTTAACATCTGGTTCAATTACAGAGAATATGATAAGCACAAAAAATAGAGCTATTACCAAAAACTTACTCACAGACTATTAGATCCCTCAGAGAGGAAAAAAAAAGCTTCTCTACTTTGACATTTGAAAGCCTGAACTAAGAAATAAGTGCCTTCATTGAATAATTCATTTATTTTTAATTTCACTCTGTGGAGGCATACAATTAGAGGGGACTCAGGCAAGGCAAGAGGATATATCAATGGAAATGTGACTTAAAAAAAAAAAGATATTACAGAAATTACAGATTTACTTTGAGCCTGAAGATTTGCTCACTGGCTCTAGGGACATTTTACTAAACACCAATACATAATTGAATACTGCACTAACAAAACATCATATAATGATCAGCATAACCACTTCCAATTGTTTAATGAATTTTAGGAAATAATCTTATTTAGACATAAGCACTTGTTCACACTAAGGAAA